ATTGCAGAAGGTCCCGCCTATATATATCAAAGAGACGAAAGTAAGTCTCTATAACAAACCAATTGCTTTTCATTAAAACGCAAGCTATACTAATATTCAAGATTACATGAAATTAAAAGGGAGAACTTTTAATTTTACCACATAATACAAGGGCATATGTATCGAGCTCCGAAATGTAGGTGGATTTCAACTTGAACCTAATCATGTATATAACCCACAAAGTCGAAACGAGTGTCACAAAATCAAGAACCGTGTGAATGTCGCCTTCCATAAATACACTACAACATAATCTTGCAGCTAAAAACACTGCTGTGAGTTCTTGAGTCTTCAGAGAAAGGCCTAAGCCACATAACAAAATACATATTAGGATTAAGTAGACTAAGCTACATAAATAAATAATCTAGTATTTTATATATAGAAATTTGTTGTTTAACGAGGAATGCAGCGTTTTCATTTTCGGGACGAATTCGATAGTCATCCCAATAATAAAAAAAAAAAAAAAATTGCCCTTTAAATTCACCCAATGAAGATAGATACACTGAATGAAAAGCATATATCTCTACCTAAATGCCTCCGAAATTTTTACGACGTTTAAAGGAAGACGAAAATTCGAACATAGTACAAGTAAATCGATTAGGATTAGACAAATCAGAAGCCAAAATTAGAATCTAAAAAGGAAAAGACTGTGTTTTTAACTAGTGTACACTGTAAAGTTCTTACCAAAAGAAAAGAAAAGAACAACCTAGGAAGGATACAAAGAAATACTGAAAACTTAAATCTAAAATTAACCGTTCACTCAACAACAGATAAAATCCCAAAATTCAACAGCAAACAAAAATGATTATAATAAAATAAAAATTAAAAATTATGCAATAAATTGAAGAATGAAATGAAATATACCGGAGCAGGTTTTTCGGGTGGAGAGTTTGTAAATGAGGACCAAAATACCAGCAAAATGGATGGCCTCAGAGGCGACGAAGAAGTGGTTGTGGTCGTGAATCAGAAGCTTCAACGCCACCAGAGCGCACAGACAAAGCGCCGCCGCCAAGAAAGCGTTGACCTTCGCCGACTGCCGCCGGACCCATGCAAACAGCTTGTTCAGCGGCGCGTTCCTCTTCTTCCCCATTAATTAATTACTAAAAAAAATCTTAGCTAATTAAGGAAACAAACAGCTATATACTGTGAAGAAAATTGAAGATAGTAAAAATCTAATTTGAAAAATATTAAAAAGTGAGAAAATCGAAGAGGAGGAGGGGGAGGGGTTGGTTAGCAGGTGACACGAAGAGGGCATGCAATGGGGGAAGTTGGGACGCTGTCAATAAATTGATGAGTGTTTCTTTCTCTCTCTCTCTCTCTCTCTCTCTCTGTTTTCTACAGACCTCCTTGGGGGTGGGGGTGGGGTGGTTGGGGGGGTGGGTAGGGGTTGGCAAGTTTCGCCGTTTGGTTTGAGCAGGCGGGGAAGGAAACGCCGTAACGGACATTTAATGCGTAGTTAGGCCGTTGATTCCCACATTTATTTTACGGACACGATTATGATCATACATTAGTACATATATTCTTGATTTTGCGTGGACTTTAAATAATAATATTTCCCTTAAAAATGTGATTTTTTTTATATATAAAAGAAAACGAAAATCTTAATCCAATTAATTATATATATTTAAGGTTGCATTTTATCTCTTAGTTGCCCGGAATCAAATCCATTTGCCAATGTTTTCTAAGTTAACATATTTCGTATGATTTACAAATTATTGTATGCGTTGTACAATGAAACATTTGAGAGGATGATTTTAAAAAAATTATAAAATTAAATTTATCGAAGTGTTCGAATCAATTTCACGATGAATTTCAACTTCTTTTGAATTTGGATTCATTAATCAAAAGGATTATAACAAGTTGTTCATCAGTAAATGCGCATAAAATAATGGAGGAATAAATGTATTGTTTGAAATATCTAGGTAGAGCTGCCAAACTAATAAGTTTAAAATGATAATTTAAATTATTTAAAAAAAAAATATTAAGGTCAAATCCAATAATTAATTTCATACAAGAAAAATAAAATGGTTCAACACTAAAATAAAATACCCACTCTATTATTCTAGCTGCATCACTTTAATTGATCCCATCTAGTAACAAAATTGTTTAATTTACAAAAAACCACCTTGAAAATTAGCTAATTCATTTACAATAATCTCCCCTAAAAAACCTCACAATTTTAAGTTCTTATAATGGACAATAACTTCTAGAAACTTCCAAGACCAAAACTCTTGCCCCGAATTTTCATAGCAACTGCAATTCGAAACAAGCAGAGATCTTCGTTGACATAAGAATATTTTCATCGACGTTTAAAAAAACGATAATTATCAAAATGCATAAAGGGAGTTTCAATAAAGAAAGATAGTCAAGGAAATGATAACTACATTTTACCTTCATAAGAAAGGACTTTTATGCATTCACTTTCTCCAGCTGCTGTGCCGTATGAGGTTTCTCTTGCCTGTTCCTAAAGAATAAAATACGATCAAGTTATAGGTCTCGTGATTGATTGATTTTGATCGTTTTTTTTTTCGTTTTTAAGAGAAAAAACCCGAGTATCCACAATAGAGTATCGAGCCTTTTATTGAAGATTTCCTATCCGATAATTGCAACTACTAATAGAAATAAACACATTTCACATCCGAAACATCGTGTACTGATCACTGGTCACTGAAGTAGCAAAAAGGAATATAACATTTTAAATGACTTACTTCTCCTGTAATTGGATAATCGACAATGGCCGCTGATAACCATCTTCTTTCTCTTGAGGATTTGGTTTTCTAGCATTTCTTGATTCAGGTTTCCAACAAGCCTTGATGAGTGACTCACCCAATAACTCGGCAATATCAGTAGCCATAGTCTCGGCCTTCTTAACAAACGGAAAACTCTCCTCTTCAAAGTGATTCGACAGCCACAGATACATCGACAAAACTTGATGCCTAGTCTCGAGATCCAAAAGCTCCGAATCATTTCGAGCAGCACATTTAGGCATGCCCATAGCTATATTCACCGGAAGCTTCTGCGAATAAATCGAAGCAAACTTCAAGAGATGGTACATTGCTTTAGGGTCCCTTATATTAACCGGTGCAAAGCAGAAATTGAAACGGTCTTCTAAAGATAACCCTTCAATCCTATCCACATATTCGCAATTTTTCTTATATGCAAATGCTGGCACAGAAAATAAGCCCCGTCCAGCTTGCAATTCTCGCTGAATTTTTCAAGAAGTTTCGGGAATTTCATATCTGGGATTTGTCCGGCGAATAATTCGACTTGCTCAAAGTAAGGGAAAAGTCCCACTCTCCTAACTTCATCAAATGGCTTCTTTAAGCACTCGATTAAGTAGTCCAAATCTTCTAAGTGTAGTGTGGTGGTGAGTCCATCTGGATAGACACTTCCTCTTCGACCGGCTCTCCCAGCTATCTGCTTCACCTGAGAAGGTGGGACCGGAACCATTTTGTCCCCATTATACTTTGAGAGATTAAAGAAAACAATTCTTCGAATATTTAAATTCAACCCCATTCCCACAGCATCACTCGCAACCAACACATCGAACTCGTTATCTTGCGAGTTGAAGAGAGAAGCTTGCTGCCGACGTGTCTCTGGCGGCAATGCACCGTATATCACACAGCAGCGGTGCTTCGTAAACTTCTCGATCGCTAATTTAACCTCGAATATTTCCCTCCTCGAAAATGCAACTATACAATCTCCCGACCGAACGTTTTTCAAATCTCCCAAGAGTGACTTTGCCTCCACGACAAGAGGTTTAAACCTCTCGTAATGCTGCTCCACGAGTTCATCTCCAGTGTCGGAACAAATCTGCCTAACTATTTCAAGAACACTCGGATCGCCACATAAGTGTATCTCGTCAGCTTTTAGACCGAGCAATGCTCTAGTCCATGCATAACCTCTGCAAGAATCGGCCATCATCTGAATTTCATCTATAACCGCCACATCGTACAGCTCGTCTGTCGACACCATTTCGACAGTACACGCAACGTGGTTAGAGAATGGAAACTCCTTCTTCTCCTGCCCTGTAAGAAGACTGCAATAAACCCCCGATGCATTCACCTTATCGAAAACCTCCATGGCTAACAACCTTAGAGGGCTACAATACACGCCTTTCTTTGCTTCCATAAACCTCTGCAGTGCATTGTATGTTTTCCCACTGTTAGTCGGACCACAATGATACACAATCTTCCTCTTCATTGCTCTAGCAAATGGGAACCAAGTGTGAGGCTTGGTCATGTCAGCCGAATCCACCATTTTTCGGAACCTCTTGATTTCGTCGGGGAACTTTTCCATGCAATACTCAACGAAAATTGGGAACAAGAACATATCAGCTTCATTGCCAGGTCCAAGAGATACCAAGTACTTAGCTAAATCATTGTTGCACTTCTTCGAGAAAAAGCTACCAAAATTACGAGCTGCAAAAGGGAAAAACGAGGCACCGATATAAACTGCAAGAGCCTGGTTTGAAGCCCAGCCAGACTTGGTAAAACAACTCATAATCTCGTGCAGGGTTTCGCAATCACTGATGGATTTGTCTTCACTATTCAGACCTTCCTTGAGTTCTTTATATATTTCCAAGGGGTCACGATTTGCTATTCGGGAAAGATTCAGTTTTTCTTCTTCTGACAGTATGCTTTCGGTTTGAGGCTCGTGTATTGTTTCTTCTTCTTCAACTTTACTGAGTTCTGGTGAATCTAAATTGGGGTTTTCATTTTCCGACAAGGAGCAAAACCAGTGTCTATAAAAATTAGGGAAAATGCCTAATTTTGTCGATTGAAACGGCGGCGAGTGTAATTGATTAGGGATTTGCGCCGGATGGAAAGGGTGAAATGTTGATTTTGAAGGATGGGAATAATGGAGGAAACGACTGGAAATTAAACTCCTAAATGTAAAGAGATTGATGTTCTTACAGGAATATAGGGCAAACACGCGCTTCGCCGGACCTCTTGCCATTGTTACCAGAGAAGCAACGAATATCAAAGATTGAAATTATTAGTTCCAATTAAATAACAGAGTAAAAGAGAAAGTGACCTATAACGCCACAATTCGTCCAAAAGGAGGTGAAATTTCTGATGCTCCGACGTCGTTTCACGAAGCAACGGTGGCCGGTGGTGAAGAAAAATTGAGCCCTGCTATTTTTAGGGGAATATTCTTTTGCTGAAAACTCCGGGATTACTAAAAATGGCAACGAGAGAGAAATGAAGGCGAAGCTTTGTGTGACTGTGTGACTGTGTGAGAGAGAAAATTGAAGCGGTTAAAACCCTAAACCCTTGTGACAATTTTAAAATTAAAAATTATATTGCTTTGCAGAAAAAATAAAAATAAATAAATAAATAAAATATTATGCCAATCCCCTACTTATTACGGTTTTACCTCTCCTTTCGTTTAAGTTTCGTTTACGGTTCTGTAAGAAACTAGCCGAAAATGATTTACGAGCTAGAACTCGGTACTTGTTTCGTGTTCAATTTTAAGTCTACTTTTTTTTTCTATTCAATGTCAATTGTGCAAAATTTGTTTCTATTAACATCATGGTGACAAAATTAATTTATGAGTAGTGTGTATAAATCGAGTTGAGTCGATTATGTTATTGTAAGATCTTATGATTTTATGAGCTCGAATAGTTTGATTTTTGTTCTTACTTTTTTTTTTACAAATTCTTTTAATAAATATTTTACAAATCGACTATAAATCAAATCGAGTTTTGGATCTTGTTTAAATAAATAAGTAAATTTTCAAATATGATTTGTGGATTGAAAGTTTATATGTAGTCAT